AAAGTGCATATACATACATGTGTTCAGCTTTAACTGTACATTTTCTGGTGTTAGAATAGAACTGACAACCGGCGCCGAATAATTGGCCAAGAAGGCTCTGAAGTTATTACAGAAGCTAGAGCACACTTAAGTTTTCTAGAATGAATCTATCAAATTGAACAGAATATGCATCCAACAATTTCCACCAGCAACTAAAAGTAACAGCACATACATATTCTTTAGTCGTGCTTTATTTATTTAGGCTATATAGAGCAATAGGCAAAATGTCGACAACTACAGGTAGTAGAAGAAAGAAGATAGATCTACTGTCAAAATTGTTGACCAATGGATAACAAACATCTGGACATACACATAATATAAAAACACTTCGTATATATGTAATACCGCCGTTCTGTATAGATGAAAAAAACAGGCAACAAAACGTTGACAATTGCAATACTTTTGACCTGACTAATCAATCGTAAGATCAAACAGATCCTAAGAAGATTAATATAAATCATCTACAAGTCACAAATTAAAGTTTGGCCAATATATAGATATATAAACGATTTGGACCATATTTGTTTGTTCATTTATGTATATGAAAAATAAATTATTTTGAAGGTAAAGCAATTTAATTTGTTAGATTCTGTGGCAAGGACATATAACAAGAATTCTTATCTAATACTATATTCCATCCTTCTCTTGATGAAAAGTTTTTTCTGGCAACCATACGATGAACAATTATAATATTCTCGATCTAATCAATCTTAAGATCCAACAAAACAAATGAGATGAAACCTGTAATAATTCTACCTGACTGACAATACAATTCACCGACGCCCTGAACCAGGAATTTGTATGAGTACTAGTAGTAGAGATAGGCAAAAACCAGTTCGTGTACCTTGCTTGAAGTCGACGAAGAGTGCTTCTCGCTTGGATCGGTGGGCGTTCTCTTGCTTCCGCTGGAGAGCCTTGCAGGGAGACCTGGAGTGGAAGAGGTGGGGGGTTGGAGAACGGTGCCATTTTATAACCACCGCGCGCGACGTTCAAATATCTCCTCTCAATCTCCGGTATGTGACCGTCCATTAATTAAAGCGGACGACGCTTTGCTTCCAGAATAACGCACGTCAATTATCTAATCACTTCTACCAGGCTGTCGTGCTAATGATTTTTGTCCTACAAGGTGCTAAGAGCAAGTATAATAGATGGCTGAAAGAAGGCTGAATGCTGAGGTAGAGGAGAGAGAGGAGAAGCGGGTTATAAGCTTACAGCCGGCTTATGACACAAGAACCAAGAAACTCTATGAGAGAGATGAGTGGGCCATGTATTAATAATGAAGAGCTAACAACTATACGAGTGGGCTGGGAGGTTGGCTATAAGGATCCTTGCAGTCAGCAGCTGGCTGTATTATTAGTCTTGCTCTAAGGACAGTCCCAATGAGACATTGATAGTAGTTTCTATCCCTCTTAATTTCACTGATAACTCATTAATTTGCTGACTTAGTTTAGAAAATTTTGCACGGTGAAAGAGTAGTTTTTTAGTGTGGTATCCTATGTCATAAAAATTGTTATGGTTTTTTTTATTGAGACTGCCCTAAGAGCACTCCCAACGCAAAAATTACCATAATTTCTATCCCTGTTAATTACGCATTTTGCTAATATGGTGATCAATATAATGAAGAGAGAGCGGAGGAAATGGAGAAACCGATTCTAAAAATCGAGTCTTCACGAGCATCGAAGCAATCGAAACCACCTGAAACCGCGTTGTGGAGGAGGGCAATGGTTTCTATCGGCACCCGGGATCCCATGCGCGAAGCCTTCTTCTCACTCGGCAGACCTCGCTCATCGCCGGCGGTACCTTGCGCGGCGGATCTTGCTCGCCACCGATGGGACCTTGCGCAGCCGGATCTCGTGCCTGGCAGACCTCACTCGCGCGTAGCCGGCGGAACCTCGCGCGGTGGACCTCTCTCACGCGTGGTCGGTGGGATCTCGCGCCATCGTAGAGCTCGCTCGCCGCCGACGGGAGCTCGTGTGCGGGAGGCAGGGACGGGGCAGGAGTGCGGCGGGCGGCTTGCGCCACAGGAGCACGGCTGCTGGGGCAGGCGCCTCTGCCGCCATCATAGCTTGCGCCACGGGAGCGCGGCTACCGGGCCAGGCGAGGGTCGCTCCTCCACTGCCGTCGAGGCTATGGACGCCTCGGCCCTGGTGAGCGGCGAGGACACGGCCGCCAGTGCTAGCTTGGGGCTCGGACATAGGCGCGGCTTCACTATGAACTCGCCTCGCGCACGGGTGTGTGGTGTGGTTTCTTCACAGAGGATCCTTCGATGAGACAGAGGAACACTGTGATTGATTGATTCATTTTTTATGAGGACACTAGGAAAAAGTCTTACACCGGGTGCCCTAACTTGTACTGCGAGTGCTCTAGAAACTAATCATGGTTTCTTGCACTGCGAGTGCCCTAACTTGTTAGAAGCCGGCATTGAAAAACCTGAATAAATCAACTTTTGGCCAGTTTTAAGTTATTTTTTTATGTTTAACCAAAGCGAACATAAAAATTTTCTATGATGTATCTTGTGTACCTAATATTGTCTTCCACTAATGAACTTCATGAATGTGGAAACTGTCTTTGTTTGCCTCTCTACAACTCTCATGTTTTATATAACATATTGAATACAGGTTTTTAAGGTAACCTAGATGGTTAGAAATTCTAATCTAAATAGATCTCTCCAATCATGAGTAATAAGCTGAATAGGAATCCTAACCTAGATTGAAGAATATTCTAGTAAAAATTGAACAAAATATTGTCTTACTTCTATATCTATATCCCTATCTACCAAATATTAAATAGCCAAAATTTCTACCGTAATTTTTTAAAAACCGTGTTCTTTTTCTTTTCGTTTTTCCTTTACGGCATTCCTGTCCTTTTTATTTTCGTTTTTCTATGTGGTGTCCGCCTGCTTGCGATGCGGTGTATACCGCACGTAGGTTCCTTTTTTTGTTTTTTCTTTTCCATCAAAGTTTATCTTTTTCGTTATAAACATTACAAATAAAATAAATATAATATTATGAATCTTTAAAACCTTAACTTTTTAGTAAATAAATATTTTCCCAAAATTTTTTATTAGAAATAAAACTTAATCTTATTAGAACCTGGATTAACTGATAGTTGAACTAATCCATGAGTAGTTTGTTATCTAATTTAATTAAAATAAATCTTCAATCAGTACGCATACCTGTGCAGTCATCTCGAGAGAGGTCTCCGTCAGACAAATCGACAACAACTAATTCAACAAGTATATCAAATAAATAGGAAAATGGAAGGATTTCACGTTGAATGTACTAGAACTTTTCTGACCCAAGCTGCTGTTGTCTCTTTGGATTCGATTCTTCTAAATCGCGGTGGCGGAAGGGCTTCACGGTCCATGTAGGAAAGCAGACGCCTTGCTCTCGACGGCATTGGCACCACAGCCAGCTGCCGGAGCATATGCTATGTTAGCCGCCGCGTGACCGCATCACCACCTCCACTATGTCGTTGCCTCCATTTTTCCTATAATTTGATGTCATAAATTTTTACATTTTTCCTATAAATTTGATTATTTTTTTTTTAAAAAACACCGACTTAATATAGCTTTAGTTAGGAATTTGATTCATTCAGAAAAGTATTTCAATAATAAAAGGGTTAAACTCCGACATTACCAATCTGGTACTGCTTTTATTTATCCCTTCCGGTCCCAAACCTCTCTTCTTCCATCGTTAACTCCCACTCGAATCCGTGCCCATGCGCATCACGATGGCTTTGCCCACATGAGCATGTGCTTGACTCAATGACTCAGTCTTCTGTCTTTCTCAACCTCTCAATAGGTACACAAAATAGCCAACCTCACAGTAGATACACAAAATAGCCACGTATTTAAGCTAAGTTGATTTTCTAGGCGTCCCAATTAACTCTGCTTGGGCGTTTAGGTGCAGCTATCAATAATCGTACTCTTTAGGCACGTCTATATTCATCCATTGTTCATTTAATACCACATCACCCGTGAAACTCTGGACATGCATATGCCCATAAACATGCCCATCGGGGCAAAGCATGGCAAATTCATGGATGAAGTCATACTCATACCGAGGAGACCATTCAGTGGTTCAAATCATAGTGATGGAATATGAATGCCTATGCCCTATAGTACAATGGTTGGCAACTGATGCCCGTAGTGACATAGAAGGGGAAAAATCTACAAAAATGAATCTACTTCCTAGGATTAATTCAGCCTGTCTTATAGCAAATAATCTAGCCTCTGTATTTCATCAATGTGACGATGTGCGCGACATATATGATTGTGCCTCTGTCTTCCACTTGTAGTCGGTGAAGACTTGCCAGAACCGGGTCATTCATCCTTGTTGAACAACATAACCTGCACTGGATCCTTATGACGTCAGATATCATACATATGATGACAGGTCCAAGTAAATGCATCCTTCTCAAGTGAAATAATTTCTAGAAAAAGAGTGCACTTCCAACAAAGTTCAATGCTTAGTGCTGATTCAACATGGACTCATGATCTTCTGTAATCAAATCAAGTTGTCAAATATATGAAGTAGAAGTACATCCTCCCAATATATCAAGACATTTGCAATTAATTTCACAACTAAAAGATGGATCATGTGACAACAAAAGCATTTACATGCTGTAAAATCAAGAAATGGTCAAATACAGTGAGGTAGATGGTGAAACTATCACGCCATGCATCCAGTCAACGACTGTACTAACAAAAGAAATTAAGAAAGCAACATACCCTAGTAATCTGATAGACTTTGAAAAATCAAAGAATTGCAAACAAAACAATCCACACTTGTTAACATTGCTAACTGGAAGATAGCTACAATAGTTCAACATTAACATATTTTTTATTATGTTTCTGTCTGAATGAAAAATCCACGCTATCTCGTTTTTATTGCAAGACAAACATAACACATGGATGAGATAGTGTTATACATTAGAACCCATAGTGAGCATGCCGTGGACTAACTAAATCTGAGGTCTGAAAATGTACGACATTTTTATAGTCAAGTAGAAAACTTACAGTGTATACTGACACCCTTGATTAACTGTGGGGCAAGAGAAAGAAAAAGCTTTCCACCACGCTGGTCCTTCCCATTGATCCATTTATCAAAAAGTCTGTTTATCACAAAATGACACAATGTACAGAAAGCAAGAAACAGAGGAAAAACACACAGAACAACAAATAACAAATTTCTATCCACTGAAGTGCTCCCACAATGCAACTACTGAGGCACGAAAACACAACAAATTATAGCCAGCAATAGCAAATGCATGTGACTTCAATAATAAAAATGTCACCATAGTAGTTTCAAAAAAAATGTTACCATAATACAACACTGACAGTAATACAATGCAGGGAGCAGCAACATCAAAATGCTCCCAGATTCTAGCATCAAGGAGAGGATAATCTACACAAGGAAGATCTTTAACAAGCAAGTCAATCATCCACAAGATTGCGAATTGTTGATTCACTGTTTTATAAAAGATAGATTGAACAAAGACTTGAAAAACATGCCATTTAATAGCTAAACCAGAAAATACCTGAACCATCTTCCAGTGTCCAGTGGTGCCATGGAAACCGAGGTCTTGCATAGGCAAAGAAGAGCATTGTGAAAAAACGATTGTTTTAGCATACTGCAATCAGAATTAAGCCATCTTGATCAATCAGGAGCACCCTACACCGTCATTCTCCTAGGCAACCAAAAAAAAAAATCCTTGGCAACCACCATTCACAAAACAAGGAAACGCTTCCATAACCAAAATCATCGACACCTTAAATCCCAAAAATGAAGAAACATCTGTATTACAAGGCACGTGGTCACAACACATAAGATCGAGTACCATCCAACAAAACCAGACAACGATGTGAATCTTTGATCAATTTCCTACTCTGTTCAGCCAATACAGCATGCCCTAATTCCTTCTAAAAGAGCAAGAAGAAACACTCAGCAGATTAGCTAACAATTTCCCCAACTGGTCACAAGCCATCATTAACCAGGTGCCCTGCAATGCCTCAGCAAAAGCAGTACATGTATGGACTGAGTGCACTGAATGGATCCTCAGCAAATCATGCTTGCCAATGCCATTTGATTGCTCATTTTATTACTTGGGCTTTGGGCATAATATGATGCATGTCTCAAGCTTCTATCTTCTCTCATAGAAAAGAAGGAAAGCCTCGCACTTGAGAACTTCGTCTAGAGACACTTCTCTGATGCTTTTATCATTAGCACGAAACCAAGCGGAAAAGCTATTGCTTGTCTCCTGCTCAAGGACAATCCTGCTTCCTCTCGCATAAGCAACAAAGTGCACCCCCCCCTGTTAGGTCCTCCTGCAATGCTCAATGCCACCAACTAGACGATATCTAGCATTATCTTTGTCCCCAGACCTGAAGGTTTGCAAAATAATAATTCAAAAGGTCAAACAAACGAAATGTTAGATTAGCTATCAACGTCACTAACAAGAAAATACTACCAGATTAACAGTTTTGACATATATCAAGTGACTAGCTGATTCCAAAACATAAAACAAAATTAGTGTCACAGTACAATTGTATTAGTCAGTTCATTCCATTTTTTATGCGCACAAAAAGGGAAAATAAAATCCTTAGCTGTTCCATTTTGCAGAAAGGGATAACATAGCCATTCGCATATGCCGCAAATCGCCTATGTGTGAGACCCAAGACTAGGCAGTCATCACAATTCAATTAGACTTCACAATCAGCATGCAATGGAAGTACTAGATGCTAGTTGCCTATTGTCCCATTTTCATAGTACAGTCAGATACTAAAATAGCATAAATAAACTATTATAGAAATCTTTGTTCTGCGCCATTCTTTACAAAATTTTCAGACCCTTTTCAACACTGCTGCTATTTTTGTGCATATACTACAGAGGTCACACTTGGGTCACCAGGAGTGATAAAAACCCAGCAGAAACACCACAGGAAACAAAAGAAACCCAAGTAGAACTAGACAAAGTGATAAATTATTAAGAACTCAAACAAATTTATTTCTAACACTACTCCAGGTCAGACAAATGGCAACTAGAAATTCTTTTATAGAGACATAAAAGCACCTTCTGAATGAACAAAATTGAAACATGCAGTCTAAACAGCTATTTTGAACTATACACCATATCTTCTTCAATCTTTCCTAAAGATACTGAACAAACTATGAAATAAAAAGTAGCTACTACAAATGAGAAACTTCAAGCTGCACAAAAGTAATAACTATTGCAGTAAAAACTTCGAACTTGGGTCTTCTCCCACTTGGCTTGCAGTATTTTCTAGCTCCACTTGTCGTGTTCTGTGTCCAGATTTAGTGCGCTGGCATTTTTATTATCATGGCACTCAACAGGTTGCTCTTTTCCTCCACTTTTCCGTGATGGTCACATTCAGCTCGGACCGTCAAGTGATGTGCTTTCACTGATGTATGCCACCATCTGTCCTCTATCTTTGCTTTGACTGGTGGGGCAAGAGAAAGCACAATCTTTTCAGCACGCTGGTCCTTCCCATTGATCCCTTATCACAAAGCCTGTTTATCACAAATGAAATGAACACAAAATACAGAAAGTAAGAAACAAGGAAAAAACGTACTAGGACAACAAATAATAAATTCCCATACAATGAAGTGCTCCCACAATGCAACTACTTAAGTATGAACACATTGTGGATCCATTGTTTTATAAAAGATAGATTAAGCATAGACTTGAAAAACATACCATTTAATAACAAAACCAGAAGCACCTGAAGCATCTTCCAAATTTCTAGTGGTGCCTAAACAAATTGAAAAGAGATGATCTAGCACAAGCAAAGAAATCTGCACCAAATCATATAGGCACAGACAACAATACTATATATGGAACCTAAAATCCAGATATTTTCTGTTTCAAAACTTAATATTTCTGATTTCAGATACTTATAGCTGCACAATTAAGCAATACGACATTAAAGATACTTATAGCTGCACAATTAAGCAATACTGAAGATGCTGAATTTTGATAGGGCCGGGAAGGGGAGGGCATGTACCTTGAGCAAAGAGAGCAGCAACACCTGTAACTGTAAGCAGCGAGTAAACAGAAACTTGAAGAATGGGTTAGAAAACGCACCTGGCGCCAGCAATCAAACACATACCGAACGCACCGACCAAACCTAACACATATCCATCTCCGGAGGAGGAGGTGGAGCTGTTCAGGTGTCGCCACTACCGCTGCCGCCGGCTGCTGCGGCGGCAGATCGTAGTTCATGGTGTACACCCCATACACGGGCATGTAGTAGACGATGTTCACGCACGTCATGAGCACGATCGCGGCGATGCCCAGGTACACCCAGACGCGGAAGATCGGTACCCAGAAGCGGGCCACCTCGGGATCTGTAGTGAAGGAGAGGACCTTGATGATGCAGAGCACAACGTGGAGCCCGACCATAGCCATGCCCCAGGCGCGGCCCATGCCGCCGAACACGCAGGACACAGCGTACGGAAAAAGCAGCTTCACCTTCATCGGCGGCGAGGGACGCTTCTCATCCTGCGCCGCTGCGGGTGGGGCCGGAGGTGGGCTCAGCATCGCAGCAGGAGCCGAAGGGGCGACGACTCGAGAGGAGCTGGGATCGAGCGAGGAGAGAGGAGCACCTGCTGACATCGGGCCAGGAGGGAGGAGCACCAGCGGCCTCGCCGGAATCGATCGAGGGAGCCGCCGGGTCGAGATCGCGAAGCGCGCGCGGAGCTGTGGTCGGGACTCAGGAGATCGAGATCGGGATGGGGGAATCGAAAACTCTGGGGATCGATTGCTCTGGGAGGCGGGGGGAAGCGGCGCCGACGCGCTAGGGTTTTATTGCCCGGGAAGATGAGTCGCAGAGTGGGTTCATGGAATTCTGGTGTCGCGTATCCCTCACGCGCCAGCCTGGAGGAAGAAGAAGAGTCGGAATCGGCTGCTCGGCCTCCCGCCTCCGCTCCGGCGCGGGGAGGTTAACCGCGGGTTTTTTCGTTATACCGACTTTACCCTTGAGCTCTTTGTTAACAAAAATATATAAAAAATAGGATTTTTCATTATTAGCGTCTTTACCCCTTGAGCCTTGACGACAAAAATAAAATAAAATAAATGGGTGCATTGGTGTAAGCTTCACGCAAAAACAAAAAATACTTTGTGTATCGATTCAAACCCATAAATAAATCTTCGTTTGGCATATTGATGTTGAGAATAGCTCGATATATTGATTCCAAGCTCGTAAGAGTTATTTTGCAAGCATCATACAATGGTCTAGTATTTTTTTTTTGGATTTTTTTAACAAAAATGCATAGTGTAAAGGAAAATGATATATAAAATAGATTTGTACCGATTAGTTTAGACGAATTAATTTTCAACCTCTGTCTCTTTTTTTAACAAAAATAAATAAAAAAGGATTTTTCATTAATACCGTCTTTACGTCTTAAGCCTTGACGACAAAAATAAAATAAATAAAATGGGTGCTTTGGTGTTCTAATCATCCAATCTGGTGTTTTTCTAGTTAATTTTGTTTTTGCAAAGGCAATGCAATTGAAGAGATAATCGAGTTCTTGTTTGTGTCTTTGTGTTACTATTTTGTTGGATTTAAATCTCGGCATCTCACAATGGCCGAACGTGTATACGGGCTTCCAGGCGGTTGATATTCTTTCAACGTGTCAGATGAGTGGGTTGATGTTTGTTCCGATCTGTCACATAACTGCACGAAACCTCGTGTCCATTCGACTGGTTCTAAACTTGTTCATCTTCCAAAGTATTGCAAAGTTCCTATTGTTTTTTTTTCCACTGGCATGGTTTTGCCCGAGCGTCCAAGGTGCATGGGGTTGGATCGGACGTAGATCACTTGTTGATGCTTCCATTATTGATTTGATCAAGGTTTGGAAAACAAACTGGTTCGGAAAAAAACTAGTTCGTCGTAGCATATTCCAACACTTATTAGGACTATTTCCTCCGTCCCACAATAAATGACGTGATAGCATTCAAAATGTGTCTCAAAAGAACAGTAACATTTTAGCCTAAAGTGTGGATTTCACCCTATACCAAGTACATCACCTGTCCATCCATCGTCTCGCTCGCTGTGGTCCAAAATATATATAGAAATAAAAAATAAAAAAAACTGATGGTGTGGGAGGAGGCTTATCCTTCCTAATTTTTTACTATTTGACCCCTTTTTCAAAAAATGTATGTTTAGCCCCTGGGAGATTTAAACTTATCTTTGGACCCTGGGGGTCGGCGCCATGAGTCTTGGCGCCGAGGTAACACGTCTTGGCGCCACAGATCTTGGCGTCGAGGTGCCGGTCGTGCACAGCAGGGAATCCTAGGTGGCGTTGACGTGGCCGGTACCTCGACGCCATATATTATGGCGCCGAGCTCGGTGTCATATATTATGGCGCCGAGCATGGATAACCAACAGGAACTTCTTGTCGTCTGTGGCGCTGCGGGCAACCATGGCCAGTGGCCACTCTTACATGCTGACAGTGACAGAGCAACGACGGTAATGTGCGATATTAATAAAAACCATTGCTCTGTGCCGGCCCGTGACCCCCCTGTCACCACAGGAGCAGCGCCAACATACGGCGCCTGACGGCATGCGCGTCATATCACCTGCGTGGCGCACGTCTGAAAGGTCCTAATGGCTAGAGGGGGCGGTGAATAGCCTAATAAAAATTTCTACAACAACACTTAATCAAATGGTTAGACAATTATGAGGCGAAGCGAGTGTTGCGCTAGCCTACTCAAAAATGTAAGCCACCTACCACAATTCTAGTTTAGATAGTGTCAATTCACACAAGAGCAATGACACTACCCTATGTTAGTGTGCTCTCAAAGGCTAACTAAAGAGCCACACCAACCAAGCATGCAAGCTCTCACAACTAGCTACACTAAAGAGCTTGTCAACTGGTTTGCGGTAAAGTAAAGAGAGTGATCAAGAGGGTTATACCGCCGTGTAGATGAATGAACCAATCAATCACGAAGATGAATAACAATGATGACCAATCACCTCGGAATCAATGATGAACACAATGATTTTTACCGAGGTTCACTTGCTTGCCGGCAAGCTAGTCCTCGTTGTGGCGATTCACTCACTTGGAGGTTCACGCGCTGATTGGCATCACTCGCCAAACCCTCAATAGGTGCCGCACAACCAACACAAGATGAGGATCACACAAGCCACAAGCAATTTACTAGAGTACCTTTTGGCGCTCCGCCGGGGAAAGGTTAAGAACCCCTCACAATCACCACGATCGGAGTCGGAGACAATCACCTCCTCCACTCAACGATCCTTGCTGCTCCAAGCCGTCTAGGTGGCAGCAATCACCAAGAGTAACAAGCAAAATCCGCAGCGAAACACGAACACCAAGTGCCTCTAGATGCAACCACTCAAGCAATGCACTTGAATTCTCTCCCAATCTCACAAAGATGTTTAATCTATGATGGAAATGAGTGGGAGAACTTTGGCTAGGCTCACAAGGTTGCTATGTCAGTAGAAATGGCCAAAGAATATGAGCCACAGCCGGCCATGGGGCTTAAATAGAAGCCCCCACGAAATAGAGCCGTTGTACCCCTTCACTGGGTACTCTGCGCTCTGACCGGACGCTCCGGTCCACTTGACCGAACCCTGGACTCAGCGTCCGGTCCATAGATGGACGCCACGTGTCATTCCGAGTTAAAACTGAACCGTCAGATCTTAACGGCTAAGTATTGACCGGACGCTCCGGTCAAACCGACCGGACGCTGGAGCCACAGCGTCCGGTCGAGTACAGTAAGGGTCCAAATCCATTTTTCTTCGACCGGACGCGTCCGGTCCACCTCGACCGGACTCAGCCAGCGTCCGGTGGTATACCCTAGCCACTGTACCGCCGAGTCAGCGCGGCCGGATGCAGGCAGTCAGTGTCCGGTGCTTCTGGATTCAGCGTCCGGTCACTGGACCGACGCCAGCATCATTTCGATCAACTCCATTTCAACTCTTACTTCTTCACCCTTGCTCAAGTGTGCCAACCACCAAGAATTTTGCATCCAGCGCAATAGAAAATAGACATTTCATTTTCCCGAAAGCGCCGAATCCCGCCTCGCAAGCTCGGCGGGAGGGAGAGAGGGACCCAAACCCATCTCAACCCTACAAACACCTTGTGCACATGTGGTAGCATATTTACACAAATATTATCAAGGGTGTTAGCACTCCACTAGATCCTAAATGCATATGCAATGAGTTAGAGCATCTAGTGGCACTTTGATAACCGCATTCCGATACGAGTTTCACCCCTCTTAATAGTACGGCTATCAAACCTAAATGTGATCACACTCTCTAAGTGTCTTGATCACCAAAATAAAATAGCTCCTACAAGTTATACCTTTGCCTTGAGCTTTTTGTTTTTCTCTTTCTTCTCTTCAAGTTTAAGCCCTTGATCATCTCCATGCTATCACCATTGTCATGTTATGATCTTCATTTGCTTCTCTACTTGAAGTGTGCTACCTATCTCATAATCACTTGATGAACTAGGTTAGCACTTAGGGTTTCATCAATTTACCAAAACCAAACTAGAGCTTTCAACGTCTCCTATGCGGCCTACTCCAACCGTAGCCCCTCCTAGCGTGGCGCACGTCTCCCCAGGCACGTCACGAGTGCGGACCATGCCTCAGCCCCGAAACAGTGTGCCGCTCGACTGGCAAATAAGTGTAACTCGAGAACATGTTTCCTAGCATTTCAGTGACCAGAAAAGGAGAGATTACATGGAGCTTAGTTTCCTGCACACAGACAATGGAGGCAGACGCATCGTCCACAACCGTGCGCAACGTGTCTCTGAGGCTTCGCGCGTTCAATCCCGCACGTTCCAGACTAAGATATTGTAGTTGTGGCTATCAATGGACGTGGTCGACCTTGGGGTATCGCACCGTGCTCCTCAGGTTCGTGCGTGCGCTCGGCATCAGTCAAGTTCCTGTCGCGTTCCGTGCGCACGCGACGCCTGTAGGTGCGGATGGCGGGTGTGGGCGCCTTTGTACCATCCGGTGGAGCGATAGATGGGCACGGCGACGCATGCATCGTTGACTCCAGGCGCATGGGGTCCACCAAAAGCTCGACGTGACCAAACCTGTATGGTAGTAGCTCCTCCATGGGCAGCTCGAGCGGCGCACTATTCCGGGGCTGAGGCATGGTCCGCACTCGTGACGCGCCAGGGGAGACGTGCGTCGTGCTAGGAGGGGTTACGGTTGGAGTAGGCCACATAGGAGAGGTGCATCGTGCAGGCAATATGACGTGCACGCCGTCTGGCGCCGTATGATGGCACTGCTCCTACAGTGATAGGGGGGTCACGGGCCGCCACAGAGCAATGGTTTTTATTAATACCGCACATTACCGACGTTGCTCTGTCACTGTCAGCATGTATGAGTGGCCACTGGCCATGGTTGCCCGCAGCGCCGCTGACGACGAGAAGTTCCTGTTGCTTATCCATGCTCGGCGCCAAAATATATGGCGCCGAGCTGGCGTCGAGGTACCGGCCACG